TAAAAGTGTAAAAAACAAATTTTTAGATTCTTAAGTGAGTTCTTATATCTCTGAGCCAATTAATTGTCAAATATAAGATTGCATCTTTCTAAGGTTTGGAAGTGCACTACTACCACATTTTGTCTGTCTTCTAGCAAAGAACTCAAATACTTATGGTTGTATAATCAACTGTTCAACCGTAGAAATTAATAGTATTTGACTCACAAAGCCTTAATCTTCATAACAAATGAAATGCACAAACTATTTCAATGTAATTTCTAGAATATTGATATGAAGATAAAGAGAAATAATCCATTTCCTTCTTATTCAGAGGCAGCTTCATTGGTATGTCTTATGCATTTATACAGGGTTCCCCCATACTTAAAGCTGATTTATCCAATTGATACAACTACAATTGACATATTNAATGACTTTGTGAAAGGGAAAAGTTCTACACTTAGAAACTTCAAAAGAAGGGATTTGGCCTGTACCGTCCGCGGGCCGCATAAACATTGATAAGGGGCCGTATGTGGCCCGCGGGCCGCAGGCTGTGCACCCGATTTAATGCTCAGTCCTCGGCATCTTAAAAAGCTGAATGAATATCAAGTTATCAATATAATGATTTTATTTATTAACCCATATACATATTTTATATGCAAGGAAAAATTTCAATATTTTACAACAATAATCATCATACAAAAATAGCACTGTATTTTGTATTTTAATGAGTAAACTATTCATTATTAAGTATTGAGCAATCCTTTAATATACTAATGATTTAAAATTTGAAATTGTCTACATAATATGTACAATAATGAATAATTGAATAATTTTTGCCATTTATTATAATTTTTGAAAGCTAGATTTGTGATAATACAGTAGAGGCCCAAAAACTCTATTCTCGATAACTCAACATTCCATAAAACTCATTGTGTCATCCTAAAAAACAAAAAATACAATTAATCTGTTTTTATCTTAACTATAACTTAACACTAGGATCAAGTAAGTTACATGTAATCTAATTTTTACTTCTATAACTTAACACTAGAATCAAATAAGTTATTGTTCTTCACCAGCAACACTTGATAATAGCATCAATTCCACATATTAACAAAGAATGTAACCCTTTTTCCAAGATGCAAATGTCACTAAGACATTGATTAGCTAATATTTTTAAAATTAAAATTTAACTACAAATAGTAGTAGTCACTATTGATATGTAGTTAATACATATATGAATTTGCACATATACATTTAAGAAAATTCTGTTATTTAGACTTGAATCATTACTATGCTGCAAAATTCATCACCTCAGTCCACATTAAGTCGAGTTTGCAGACTCTACTGTACTGACCAAACTTTTGTGGTTCTCCAAATTTTAAACTTTCTTCCTAGTGAAGATAGGGTCAAATTCCAATTAGAAATTTTTTTTATGTAAGTTAAACAAGTTGAATTGTTGCATTTATGAAAAATTCTGTAAAAAAAAAAAAACTATATACAAATATACAATTTTTTTCTTATAAGAAGACCTGTACCTTATCTATTTTTCAACATAATTTCCTCTAATATTAAGGCACTTATCGTACAACCAGCTTCTGAATTCCATCCTCAAAGAAACCTGCCACCTGACTTGCCAACCATTGCAGCATGCCATTTTGACATCATCATTGTTGTAGTACTGACCAACTAGATGTTTTTTCAAGTAAGGAACAAGAGTGGATCAAGGAACTAAGTGCTAAATCAGGGCTATACGTAAGGTGATCAAGTTGTTCCCAGCCATATGATGTGATAAAGTCTCAAGTTCATTGAGCCATGTGTGGATGGGCATTGTCATGAAGCAAAACAATCCCCTTACTGAGCTAGCCACACCTTTTGTTTTGAATGACAAAATCTAAAGTATCTGTTTTCTTGAACTTTTGTATCAACTTTCTGCACCAAGTCTTCAGTAATGACAGATGGTCACCCACTATGTTCCTTGTCATGGATATTAGTATGAAATTTTTAAATGCTCTAACCCATTTCTTACCATTCCATTGCTCATAACATTTTTTCCATACACCTCACTATTTTGCTGATGAATGTCAGCTGTTTTCATGTGTGAGACTAGCCGGCGGTACTACTCCACTAGGATAATTAGTACCACTTAATCGGCGCTAGTTGGTAAAACTAGTTCTCGAGTTGTCCAAAAGAATGGCTTTTCCTAGTTCGATAGGAAATTTGAGTGTGGAGGGACTTACAGATTAACTATATTTTAAGCGGAATTTGGTGAAGGCAAATTCACCTTCTTCCTTACGTCAGGAGTCCCGACACCAGTTAATCACATTTATATCACACGGATTAACACGCATGTGGAGATAAGACATTTCTTTAACAATAATAAACAATTAACTATTTAATAAAGAAAAGTAAATAAAATTACAAATTAGACTTAGTTAAAATTAACATTAAACGAATGATCAAAATATACGCTTCGAGAGAGAGAGCTCACAAATTCATTATATTCATACAACCTTTTAGTTGACATCTTCTTCTGTATTTGTCGAATATACCTTCAGTTCTAAGGTTCTCATACTCCTATTCATGGAGAGGTCTTGATAGTCACAATATTAAATATCTCTTCTATGTTTCTAATTTAACTCATTTAACATGGGATAATTATGTCTATGGACGACAGCCTTCAGGATACTATACTGTTCCTAACTAAAAGCGTTGACTTTAGGATACTGCATGGAAATACGTCTGACTACTCTGAGATCCTTCGACGTTCTCCTAACTAAGGGCATTGGCCTTAGGGAGCAAATGTGTGGACTTCTTTCCACTTTCAGATCTATGGACGTACTCCTTTACTCAGGGAGACAATATAGGATGCTTCTCTCCTCTGCGAGAGCTCCTTACGTACTCCATGAGTAAAGGGGTACGTCCATAGATCTGAAAGTGGAAAGAAGTCCACACATTTGCTCCCTAAGGCCAATGCCCTTAGTTAGGAGAACGTCGAAGGATCTCAGAGTAGTCAGACGTATTTCCATGCAGTATCCTAAAGTCAACGCTTTTAGTTAGGAACAGTATAGTATCCTGAAGGCTGTCGTCCATAGACATAATTATCCCATGTTAAATGAGTTAAATTAGAAACATAGAAGAGATATTTAATATTGTGATTATCAAGACCTCTCCATGAATAGGAGTATGAGAACCTTAGAACTGAAGGTATATTCGACATATACAGAAGAAGATGTCAACTAAAAGGTTGTATGAATATAATGAATTTGTGAGCTCTCTCTCTCGAAGCGTATATTTTGATCATTCATTTAATGTTAATTTTAACTAAGTCTAATTTGTAATTTTATTTACTTTTCTTTATTAAATAGTTAATCGTTTATTATTGTTAAAGAAATGTCTTATCTCCACGCGTGTTAATCCATGTGATATAAATGTGATTAACTGGTGTCGGGACTCCTCACGTAAGGAAGAAGGTGAATTTGCCCTCACCAACTTCCGCTTAAAATATAGTTAATCTGTAAGTCCCTCCACACTCGAATTTCCTATCAAACTAGGAAAAGCCATTCTTTTGGACAACTCGAGAACTAGTTTTACCAACTAGTGCCGATTAAGTGGTACTAACTATCCTAGCTGNACTGGAGCACAATTGTCTGTTCCCACACCGATTCGCACTTCGAAAGTTTTCCGATCAGATCAGAGTGATCAACCTGTCTGTTTATAACAGCCATACAAATATAGGAATCGTAATTATAGGGGGGTCGACTGTATTTATTTTTTTAAATACTGAATAGACATAGATTATCATCAAAAATATTCTAATTAATTATTATTTCAATTAACTTAGTATACCATAATTTATTTTTGTTATAAAGTTTAAGAAATTCAAACTTATTTCACTTATTTCATTTACACCATACTTTCTATAAAAATATAACATGCTTTAGGATCTTAGGATGAGGATCTTATCGTCATTTATTAAATACAGTGATGATTGCACATGGTTGTTGCAAATAAATTTTGAATAAATGAAGCAATTCAACAAGTTATGTTATGAAAAATATAAAGATATCTGCTAATATATCTTCAAATTTTTTTACCATATAAATTACAAAGTATCCAATATCTGGATGAGATGATCACACTTTGACTATCAGTGATCCAAAATTCAGTTGACTAATAAGAAAAGAATTCTGTTAAATCTTATTATAAATGTATAAATATAAACACAGATACATATTTATTTCACAGAGAATTCATCAACATCAGAATGATATTAACAATTAAATACAATACATTTCACAAATCATGGCAAGGCTGCTGTGATATACAGTAGCAAGGATAAGTCTATGTTAACATATGAAGAGTATTTACAAGTTATATGAATTTAACATGATTTGAAGCAGATCTTGGATTGCTGTTTTTATTTTAACAATCCATTTGGGTAGTATGCAACTCCCAGATTTTTGGAATGAGTGTAAAGCTAGAGAACAGGTCTACTTAAGAACTTTCAACATTGTCATAAAATATATAGAAATGTATAGATGTATTTGTAGGTCAACAATTTGTGTGTGTAACTTGTTAAAGTCAAATCTCATAAATAAATTTTGTATGAAAAATCTAAAGTATCTGTTTTCTTGAACTTTTGTATCAACTTTCTGCACCAAGTCTTCAGTAATGACAGCTGGTCACCCACTATGTTCCTTNAACTCCCAGATTTTTGGAATGAGTGTAAAGCTAGAGAACAGGTCTACTTAAGAACTTTCAACATTGTCATAAAATATATAGAAATGTATAGATGTATTTGTAGGTCAACAATTTGTGTGTGTAACTTGTTAAAGTCAAATCTCATAAATAAATTTTGTATAAATCAATTCAAAAATTTTATAAACGTAAATATATATATATCAGAAATAGTTCTTTCAAATCATATTACTTTAATAATTCTAAATATAATAATAATAAATAAATGTATAAATTGTCATCTTTTTGCTTTACAAGTATCTTCATTAAGATCTTTTTTTTTCATATATTTTGCATGTCATTTCATTAATGTAATCCTATAGAAAAAATACCTTTAATTAGAAATAAAATTTTAAAAAATATGAGTTTTATTAATGATACATACCTAATTAACTTCTTGTCATATGTTTAACAAGTAATTTTGATACATATGGTTTAATAAAGGAATTAATTTTGTTTAAAGTATCAAAATTTTGTGAAAGAAATTCTATATAAACAGAATCTGTTCCTCCTATGTACTGTTTTTTGACAATGCAGTCAAATACTAAATATTTAATGTCCTTTCCTAAACACGCAATTATTTTTTGAGATATTTCTTTTTCAATTTTGAGAATATCAGTCTCTTGAGAACAATGATCTTTAGTCTCTTTTTTTCTATTTTGCCAAATTTGGTCTTTCACTCTGCATGACAGATGTAATATAATATCATTTCCTTTTTGACTAGAATCTTTTAGAGTATTGATACTGTCACAAACTTCCATATCTTCCTTTGCTTCAGAAGAAACAATTTCCATATTAGATGTACAATTATCATCAACTGAACAACTTGGAATATTGAAATTTGTTGGTTTGTTGTCATCACTTTCAGAATTAAAATTGCATTCAAATGTAGTACTGACAATAGGATTTACATATGTTTTGGGATCCATTAATTTTTGTTTTGACAGACAAATATCATCATTGGATTGCCTTGAGGAATCATCTAATCGTCTTTTTCGCGATACTTTAGTTTTATCAAACACATTCTTTATAACTTGACAATCGGCACACAGTGCAATTCTGAAAATATCTATAATAGTTGAACAAATTAGCATTAACCAAAGTGATTTTATATCTTTTGCTACTGATGATGAATTTTTAACTACACATTTTAACATATCATTTGTAAATTTCACCTTAACAGAAATATTTTCATTTGGAGAATACCATGACTGATTTTCAAAATTCACAATTGGATTTAATAAATCTACTAAGTTCCACATTTTATATCTTGAATTAATTATATTGACACTGGTCTGTAATTTTCCTTTAAATTCTTCTAGAAATTTTTCATTGATACTACTTCCTGTATTATGACTTAAATCAAAAGGATCTTGTATAGAAATAGGGCTTACTTTAAAATTTTCTTCTGGATCAGACATGAACTCATTTTTACCAACAACATTTCCTGTTCTAGGACAAATTACATTTAAAGTAAAGTCAAACTGTGCATAAAATTTAAAAAATCCTTCTAATAATTCTCTGATTGATTGCTTATTTTCAGATTTTGGAATTTTACTTACATCTCTACAGAATGAACAGTCCCATTTTCCAATTATACATTCATTTTCTGCTAATTCTTTTAACTTTAAAACTGTAGGCACCACAGGAGGTTTGCGAGTCTGTAAGTAAAAAATACACAGCAGAACAAATGAGTAACTGGTCAGTTTATCTCCAGAGCCAATTAATTCATGATATTTTCCCCAATATCTTAGTGTGATGATAAACGGTCTTATCCTGTCTGGATCTAACTGTCCATAAGTATAAAGTAGCATACTATTTTCAATGGTAATTCCTTTACCAACAGTCAAGTCACAATTCACTAAGTTATTTGAAACATTTAGTTGAAATCTTACTAAGGGGCATCTGTAACTGGGAATAAATAAGATGTTTTCGATACCTTTAGTATATTTTCTGAGAACCTTATGTACAAATACAGCTTTGGCTGAATGAGTCAAATTTTCTAAAATTGCCTTCTGGCTTAAAACATCCTCAATCTTTGGTGCACAATCCTTCAAATCAATTCCATCCATGAAATACGATTCCGGCAACTTTAAATGCAGATCCAAATCGCATCCCTGAAAACCAAATCCGTTTACACTTGAACCGAACATGTAGACTCCAGAACCTGGGAAAAAATTACTTAAAATATTCTGAAGCATATTAACAATGGTCTTCCTCAATTTCAGTGAATCATTGTTCAACGACACTTCGGACTGGAGCACAATTGTCTGTTCCCACACCGATTCGCACTTCGAAAGTTTTCCGATCAGATCAGAGTGATCAACCTGTCTGTTTATAACAGCCATACAAATGGATCGAGGTCTGTCCGGCTTCTTAACGGTCCGCTTTTTGACGATCAACCGCTGACCAAACATCCACTGCGGGCGAGACAGAGCCACTTCGGCGGACGACTCGTTAGAAAAGTCAACAAAAGCGAAATGCTTGATGCTGTTGTGTGTCACTTTAACAACTGTACCACAACTTTCAAACTTTTGTTTTATATTGTTTTCATCAGCTCTCAATGGCAGATTAGTAACAAAAATACTCTTTTTGGCAGTTTGTTCATCACGTTCATGGACGGTTCTTCGTTGCAAACGATTTAAATGCTTCTTACCTTGTAAATGACTCTTCATATTCCCTTTGGTTAGAGAAATGCCACAAATATCACAGTAACGGTTACCCATGGCGAAGCGCTATTCTTATATAAATTTAGCCTATTTACTTTCAATTGTGAATATCATTTTGATTATTAATGTCATAAATCACGTACTATAAACATAAACAATGCATTAGAATACTGTAGGTCAAACCATAAACGAAAAACAGTTTCGTTTCCACTTACGTAACCACGTGAGAGGCGCCATCTTGTTTGTTTAATATCGCTCGGTATTTTTTTACAAAATGGCAATTAAATAAAATGATACAAATGTATAAAAATTAATTTTATTTTTTAGTTTTTAAAAGTCATATTTAATAATTAATTAAAAATTTGTATAAAATAATATTCGATTAATTATTTTTTTTCTTTTAAAAAAATTTCGTAATATCCAAGCCTATCCGGAAAAGTTGCTATAAATGTTAAAAGGAGGACTACACAATTGCTTTTTCTTTTCTTAATTATTAATTTACAATTTAAAGTACTAAGGCGTGTGTTTTAGTAACAAGACTGAGACGTTATTGAATAAAACAAAAGTGTAATTTAACGTAACTGAATTTAGCTTTCAGAACTGTCGCTTAAAAATCGTTTAAGTATAACTTTTTCAAATTGAATTGCTGATATAAAATTATATTTGGCAGCAATTTATTTCGCATATCTCGTAAAGGCGGGTATTATCGATTAAGAACGGACGTTTAAGTAGCGAGCCAATGACGCGAACCGTTTCATATAAAACAGATAATATCATTGGCTTCATTATTCAATCTTTTCTCATCTAGATGCGCTTCATGCACCCATTACAAATACTTTATAGAAAATAATATATTCTAGTTTCAATTTACGATTTTGTTTTCTGAATTTGTAAAAACCAATTTCGGATTATTATTAAAGATAATATTTTGAAATCGAAACTTTTTAGTTTGATTATTTATTTATAAAAGAAAATAATTAAACTAATGCCGTTAGAGGGCGTTACATATCTCCAGGTGATGGGAAGATGGAGATGACTTCTGGAGCACGATGATCGGGATGGGAACGGTTGTTATTGGTATCGTTTAATATACAATTCTATAAACTTATATTTCAGAAAATGCTTTATATGTAGTTTAAATAGCACAATTGGAAGCAATCTTACATTGTTTCGATTATCATATATCAAGTTGGCGCAATTTAAATGGTAAAATTGCAGCTCTGAATGAGGAGGAGGTTTGGTCCTTATCATAGCTGTTGGCCATGTGTATAAATTGGAGGGCAAATTCCCTCACTCAGAACTACAATTTACCTAATACAGATTATATATTAGGATGATGGTGATGATGATGATGCTTAAATTTCTAAATTTATAATTGAATCATCATAAATAATAATACAATAAACATAAATGAAATAATGAATTCTATTCCCAAAATAGAATATATTTATCCGATCGTTATCGAAATCAATATCGTATGTCATGTATTGATTTTGATATACTTCATGACAAGATTTTTCTCTTTGCTTGACAACGACAATTTCTTGTAATGCTATAGGCTGGTGTTTCTTAAAATTTGGTCTGTAGGCCACTCGTGTCTGAGACTCACTTATTCACAATTCCTCTCTGTGTTATCTAGACAGAGGAAACAATATTTTTGTGCACTCTTATCTCTCAATAAATTAGGTATATCAAGTAGATAGAAATTTTTGGCATGTATCTAAGATATTTACAGATATGGTATAGGCAGTTTGTCTTGTTTGTAAGTAAGTTTTCAGTGCATAACTTTCAGAATTACTTCTGTAAGCCCATTTTGTATGATCTTGTTTGAAACTGTGACTGTGGTTAGCCAGTACCGTAAATTGCCACTGACTGATGATTTGTGTGGAGCGTTTCACATGATACTGTTGATGGTGAATTGCTGTAGGTAACTGGCAACGTGTCCGCGCAGTAAGTGGGAGTTGTGGGTTTAAGTCCCGCTTCGGGCCGATTCTTCGAGTTTATTCTAAATTAATTAATTATTATAATTATTCAATTTAATACAAGATGGCACCTAATGCCTCCCTCTAGTGCCAAATTTATTTGTAATTCATAATTAAATTTCCAAATTATAGCCCAATTATTTACAGCAATCGTGGGTATCTACTTGCTAAGCATCGGGTTTTGGTGGATGTTTACATCTGAGTTTTGTATCAATGGAGCTACATGTGTTTTTTGCTGTATATGGTTCAGATTACTACATATGTCTACATTCTCTTTTGTGTATCATGATTTTGCTATGCCTATGTCTGGTGAGGATTTGATTGAATTACTGGGGTAAGGGAACAAACACATGGGTGATCTGCCAGGAGAGTATCTCTCCCAGAAAGACTTTGTATTATAAATGGGCTCTTTAAGTATTAGAAACATGAAGAAAATTCAGAAAACTTCATGTGGCCAGCCCTTTGCAAACCTGTGACTGTCTACCAGTATTTGATGGTTTTATCCACGTCTGACAAGATATGTTAAATTTTATTTTGATTAAAATGGAGGATTATGAAAGTGATATTGAATTACTAATGAATTTAGTTCAAGAAAGACATGTTTTGTGGGATTTAAGTTTAGAAGAATATAAAATCTTAAAGTTTAATATTAAATTGGTAGAATGAATCTTTTTTAGAAAGTAGTTTTATACAAACAATTCAATAATTTGTGAAATATTGATACAGACATACAAAAGTAATTTTAAAATATATAAGCATCCTGTCATTAAATAAGGCAGAAAATGCACCTACTAAACTTCTTTCTACATTCACCAATGTATCCAGAGAGCTATTTGACTGTTTTTCATTTATATAACAAATATATAGATGACGTTTTCTTTGCTCCAACTAATGAGAAAAACTGAAAATATAGAAAATATTCAAAAATTTTCCCCTATAAGGTGTTAGATAGATGACTGGCACCACTCTACTGTTAAAGGAAAGTATAATGTACAGGAGCAAGACACTACAGTACTAACTTGAGGTGGAGAGTATATATTTTAAATGAAATAAATTAAAAATATGATTAAAAATTGCAGCCTGGAATTGTGATGATGTCACAATAAATAATTGCTCATATGATTTTGCATCATTTGGATGCCAGTTTTCAGTAAATTATGCATATGCTATTTCTTGGATCTTTTCTCTTACACTTCCAGGTAGTAATAAATGTTTTAGAGATTATACAGTGGGTGATGGGTCATCAGTTAACGAACAGTTTGGTTAATGAACAAATTGGATAACGAATACTTTTGCAAAAGATTTTTATGTTTGGACGAGGAACACCTCACCGAACAAACACAAGAAGTGACGTAAAATAATGAATACCAATTGGTCTTCCTTTGTCTTCAGGCAACAGTTTGAAACTTTTCAGAGTGTGGGAGACTTTAATGTTGATGTTCAACCCAGTATATACTAATTGGATAGTATTCCTCCAAACTTTGGAACTCTCCCTTGTAATTCCAGCCTTTTATTTTTCTGACAGAAACAATTCTTTAATAGTATTTGCAAGACTTTCAGGTGGGCACTTGTTAAGTTTTGTGCTGGTTTTTATTTTCGAAAGGTGAGAGTATAATAGCAAAGGTAGAGAGGGGGCAGAAGATGTCTGATGTTGCTGGGCAGTATGGCTTGAACAGGTCTATAGTATTAGATTGCAGTTCAACCTTATCTAAGAAAGATACTGTATAATCAAGAAGACTCAAGCAGATAAAGGAGTAACAAAAATCACATCTGAGAAATAAAGAACATTGAAGAGCTCATAATGGAACCTGAAACTGATCTGACAACAGAAGAATGCCAAGAACTCTTGAATGAAGAACACCAAGAAACTTGGTGAGATATGTTTTCTTCAGAAAAAGAAGATTAATGCCAATATCTGCTATTAATTAAACATCTTTTTAAGTGGGAGGATGTCAGAACAATGGTCTTAGAATGGCATCCAAACCAGGTTGAGGTTAATAGGCTTGGGATCTCTACAATTACAATGCTATTAATTACTTCTGAAAAATCCTGAAGAGAGAAAAACAATTGACATTAGACAGATTCTTTAACTCCACAAATAGAAAAAACATGACTAATAAAAATGCAAGACTGTGTATATATGTATTTTTATTATTACATATAAATAAACATAGTAAGAAAGTATATATTTTTTACTTTTTGGAGTCTCCAGAACGAATTAATTAAATTCCCATAAAAACCTATGGTAAATCGATAATCTGTTAACAAACAATTCAGATAGTGAACAAACTTGGAATGCATTATGTTTGTTAACAGATCACCTACTGTATTTTATTGGTTTGTTTCTTGCATACCTAGGACATATTTAATTATAATGATTTTTTTGTTATTTATGTCCTCAGGTAGGTGCTGAGCTTTAGTGTCATCATACATAATTCTATGAAGATTACTTTGAAATGAAAAAATATTTTATTTTTAATTTTTGTATAATGGCAATGTACTTTATGAAAAGAGATAAACTGACACATTCAGTACTACTATTTTTGTTTTTTTCCAACAATGATAGCAAAAGTGTTAAAAAATATAGTTATATTTCAGGAACTTAATTGGGCTGCAATTTTCAAAAATTGCAGACCTATAAATTCCCACTGGTGTCTGTCTGTCCTTTTGTTAATCTCAAGAACAGTTAGATAGATGAAAGTTGAGACCAGATATGGAAAGCTTAGAAGCAGGATGTTTGATATCAACTGATTTCTATGTCAGTTTGATATCAAACATCACAGTTGCTACCTAAGTGCACTTTACCCTCTTTTTTAAGCAATACCATACAATTTTGCTTATAAGTTAAGATTATAGAAGAATAGATTATTAAGAGAAGTGTTTAAATTCATATTTAAATGATGATACTTAATAATTGTTAATTATTCTTCAGGTGGAGGAAGTGGTTTTATTGGCAAGACACTAAGTAAAATTCTGAGAGCTAAAGGTTATGGTGTCGTCATAGTTTCTCGCAAACCGGGACCCTTCTCTATGACATGGGTAAAATTGAAGCATTTATTTGTTTTATTTAGCTTATTTTTTTATATTTCTAGTCAAATATAGTTAAAAATGATTTAAGTAGAATTAAATATTAATTTGTATTAGTCATTCATATAATTTAAATTTTTGAGATTTTATAATATCAATTGCAATAGAGTCCCAGTTAACCAAGATTTGTTTAACTGAGGTTCCACATTATCCAGGATGAATTTTAGAAGGTTATTTCTGTCAACAAATATTTAATTTTTGCAATTTGACCTTCCCCACAGAGTGGAAGTCTTTCTTCGAACTATACATCTTACTATCATCCTCCTTATCTTATGTCACCTCCTCTCTGCACATGTGTTCGACAATCCCCTGTTTGTTTCAGCATTTGGAGATTAGTTTGTTTGATGATGCCCATTCAACACAGGCAAAAACATTTGCACTTTTTATAAAAATTTGCTGGTTTATCAGTTTAGTATTTTTAATTTGTCAACAAAGACAAGAGAATGCAATACAATACAGTGGGGTTCATTTCATGAATCCTGTATGAATACTGCCCATTATCTTGGCAATATTCAAAAGGGTCTGAAAAAGTTTTGTAAAGAATTTACTTTGGCAACTTCTCATAACAATAAATTTTAATTATGATCATCATAAAACTTTGGTTTTTTATTTGATTCGGTATTTTTGAATTTTGTTGATTGCTTTGTACAAATATTCAGGGTTATCTGAATTCTTTATCTTAGGTACCCTCTATCCCCATTACATTGGATAATTGGGACTTTGCTGTATAATTAAATTATATTATATTATATTCCATAAGTAGGTCATTAATTTAATTTCATCACACACACACACACACACACATGTATATTATTAGAGTGGTCCTTACATCTATCTGTTTTAATTAACTGATCAATACAAACCACATTATTGAATCTGTAAAATGTGTTCAGAATTGCAACATTTAATATGGATTTAATATTGGTACATATGGTTTCTTTTCATTAATAAATGCTTTTGAAAATTACAGGCATGACACATTATAATTTTTTTTTTTTGTGTGCATTGCCATTACATTCTATTATATAAACATATCATCTCTATAAATAAAATATATAATTTAGTACAGAGTAATAATGTCAGATGTAGAGATTCCGCTATGGGAATTCCTGGAAATTTTGTTGAGCTTTTAAAACTTTAAAATATTTTATACACATTTACAACTAATAGCTATTTTCATTCTTGATGAACTAAAATTTTCACATAAGCTGTTGTGCATGCAAAAAGGCCTCTAAGAGACTTTTGGGATGATTTGACAGTGATGTTTTTCACAAACACTCTTAACATAACATATCTGCATAAAGTTCAGTATTTTATTCATAACATATTTTTGTATAATTTTTGTTTTTCAAAATATTATGTTGCTATAATATTTTTTAAAATATAAACAAACTTCAAAAACATTTCAAAATTTGAGTTTGTGATTTTTACTCTAAAAATCTGAATCTAAAAAGAACTGTAATAATTTTTATGGAATCCTAATATGTCAGTTATTTCATATTTTATGGAACAAAAAACATTTAATGTTATATATATATATATGTAACATTTATTAACATCTTTGCTAAATATTAATCTTTTTTTCTTTATTTATATTAAAAATGTTTTCATACTGATCCATTAAATTTGTAAAATATTTCAATAAATTTTACTGGCATGTATCAATGTTATCTGAAAAAAAAAAAAAAAAATGTAGACATTGTAGTCTTTTCTATGTAATTTTTAATGCAGCCACTATGTCTTCATTTTTCACCATGTCCAACAGTCTTCCATTGCAGAGGCAATCTTTTATTAGAGGCTACGCCTCTGCAAAAATATGCAAAACAGTTTTAAAAATGATTCTCTCTGCAATGGAAGACTGTTGGACATGGCAAAAAATAAAGACATTTTAGTCTTTTTTTTTTTTTACATATTTTTTTAATGTGGAAAAATCATCAGCCATTTTTTAAAAGATAGCGGCTATAGTTTGTGACAATTTTAAGGCAAGTATTTTAAATAGAGTAACTATTTCAGTTAACAGATATTTTTAAAAATAAAGCTAAAACAATTTCCGTATCCCAGTATTTTCTGGGAAATAGTCAATCACATTTCCCATTTCCAGGAAATTTTGGAAACCCTTGTCAGATACAACCAATGAGTGTTAATCATGCAATACTGGCATGCAAATTAATTTTTGATGTGCTCACATATCTTGGTTAAGTTAAACTTAAACATGCTTAAATTTATGATAAATAAAATGGTGCAGATAGTGCTTTATGTAATAATAATATATTAAAATTACTTTAGTCAGAACTTTCTGATAAAGGTCTTCCCGAAAACTCGACAGCAGTCATAAGCTTAGCCGGACAGAATGTTCTTGATCCAACTAGGAGGTATTTATATAATTATGTTTTACATATATAAAATATGTTTATGTAAACTTATTATAGAATTTATTCTTTTACAGGTGGACACCTGGTTTCAAACAGAATGTTTGGTCAAGTCGTGTTCACTCTACGCGCTCCTTAGCTGAAGCCATCAAGAAACTACAGACACCACCAAAGGTTTTTGCATCCATTTCAGGTGTAGGTATGAAATTTATAAAACTATCATAAAATAAAAATGAAATGTTAATACTTTTGATTAGAAATTATTTTATAAATGTGTTTTTTTAAGGTTTTTACAAACCTAGTGAAACTGAAGAGTATACAGAATACAGTATAGGAGGAAATCACGATTTTCTTTCAAGGCTTTGCAAAGATTGGGAAGAGGCAGGAGAATTGCCAAATGATATTAATACACGAAGAGTGGTTGTTCGAAGTGGCAAGTGATCTAAAAGGATTTTTTTTTCATTTTTACAAAAGTTACAGTTAACTTTATTTTGTATGTATTCTCATACAGGTGTCGTGCTTGGGCGGCAGGGTGGAATGATTCAACAAATTTTCTTGCCATTTTATTTTGGATTAGGTGGACCTATCGGAACTGGAAATCAATTCATGCCCTGGATTCACATTCAAGATATTGCTGGAATTTTCTTGCACGCAATCGAGAATGAAGTAAAAGGAATATTAAATGGTGTTGCTCCAGAAATTATTACAAACAGAGAATTCACCAAAGCTTTTGCAGCTGAGCTACGAAGACCTGCCTTGATACCACTTCCGGTAAAAGTATTAAACATGGCCTTCAGTCCCGAGAGAGCTATAATGATGACTGAAGGGCAAAAAGTTATTCCACAAAGAACACTCGAAATGGGCTATAAATATATTTTTCCAGACATCAGGTCGGCATGTAAAGAATTTGCTCATTTAATCTACAAAAAGAAATGAGCAACTTAAGAATAAATACATAATTTGTATTTTAAACTGTAGTTTATTATTTTATTTAAATAAGTGCTTTATAAAACTTCAATTTCTTTGTAAAGAATTTGCTCTTAATTTAGGTTAATAAATATTTTAATAAAATGATGAAATTAATAAGTTTGCATTTTAAGTTATATATGAATCTGTAAGTGAAATTTCTACAAGTTACACAATTTTATTACATTGATTGCAAGAAATTCAATTAAAATATCCCTCTTAATCATTAAAGCTATATATGTAATTTCAAATAATTGAATAAATGTTTATATTCTATATAATCATTGCGTCTTATGAAAATATGTTTTCATATTAAAGGAAAACAGATAAATTCAACAATTTAAAACAGAGCAGTTTTTCACAATGAACATATAACGATTTTCATCTTTTCATTCAGCAAGAAAATGGACTTCTGAAAGAAGAGATCAGTGAACATTACTTTTTCATTAATTAAGCTTTTTCAATAAAGATGCATGGCAAACTGACAAGACTATAAAATATTTTTGTACTTGTTAAAATACAATTATATTTTTTGAAGTATTAGTCATGATAATCAGTGTTTAATTGTAAGATATCAGATACTATTGACAAACTACAACTAGTGACTTCTAAACAGAATTCATGAAAAATTGTGTGAGAAGTTTGGTGACTTGTGCTACTTTTCTTTGATGATTTAATATAACAATAGGCAAACAGTTTTTGTTCCAGAAAATAAAGAATTTATGCTTTTTATGAATGTAAGTAAAATGTTCAAAATCAGACACACAAAATTACTTTTCTTGTATGTACAATTTTATTCAAGGAAGATTGTTTTTCAACAATTTTTTTTTTGTTTTTTTTTCCAAAATTTATATTAAACTTCTGTGACTTCATTGTGTACATTTTTAATTGATAAAGTGCATCAAAATGAGAATTTTCTTTTTAATTAAAAATTATTCAGATCTCTCTAAGCAATTATTAAATAAACAAAAACCAGATCTAAAATACAAATTCAGCTTCTACCTTCCAAAGGAGATTCAGCATAAGAGAAAAAATAGATTTTTACAATGCAAAACACATTAATCTAACAATAGTTACAAAGCAAATAATTGTAAGTACATTTGTGCCATTTCTGTTTAGAATCATTCTTGTTATAGCAGTTTATAAAATAAGTTATCCGAATTCACAATTAGAACAAATATTCAACTAAACAACCTTTCCTTTCAAATAACAGAATGAAAAAAACAGAACTGACATTTGTTTTGAAAACTTTCTCACTCAGATCTATCATCTATGAAATGTCCATGTCCTTTGTGTGAAGTGATCAGGAAGCAACGTCGAGAACTCCTTGAATCTCACTCTTTTTTTTTTTTTGTTTTTTTAAATTTTTCCTGTCAACAGTCTGTGCACAGCATATTTTTCATATAAATCTAATATACATCAAATCTTTATTTTTAGCTGTAAAAAGATATTAAGTTTCAGATTATTTCTTTTAATACTTTAATCTTAATAATATAAAGTGATTTACCTTATATATAACATATGTCACTGCCATGTACAAAGCGGAAAATTATTCACTTCAGTTTGTTCTTGAACTAAAATTCCATCTATACTGTATGACAATTTTATCCTCATTCGTAACTGTGTCTGAAACAAATCATAATAAGAGTAAGTTATGTTCAAACATTTGAATTGTTAGTCAAGAAGAAGAAAAATGAAAATTTCTAATATCAAATTAATAATAATTACAAAACAATAATCAATCATTCTTGTTATTGTAACTTTTTAAAATAAAATTAGAATTAAATTGTTCTAAACAGATGAAAAAGTTTTGCAATTAACAAGATAAGAAACCATTAATTTGGATATTCTTTCTACATTTTCATCTCACAACAGCATTCCAAATATTTACTCTTAAGTTCATTACACATTTTGGCCTATATACCCTAGTCAGAAGAATGAAAATACAACAAATATTTTGATTGATGTCTGCTAAAAAAGTAGCATTTTTTGTTTTTTCTACAATTACAATCATTCATTTCCCACAAAGTCATTTCCCACAAATGACTATTTGCACAAATACAATATGTGTTTTGGGTGTAATTACACAATTAAATAATTTTAAAATTGTCATAAACATCTAAAACATACCAAAGGAAAAAGTCCCAAAAAAAATTTTCTTTCTGTATTTCTTAATGGTTTACAACAATTAGTGATAGTGCATTGTATATTTATTTTCTAATATTTACAGTTTGGAAAAATATATAAATATAATATGCTAAAAATAAATATAAGTGCATTTAAAATATTTAAAAGTTTAAAAAGTGCTGAGACTTCATTTCAAAAGATCAAAGATCAACTCATTCATGTTAATAAGCATGTTTTTATTTGAAGTGAAAATGAATATGAACACTAATTATGCTTCTATATATCATAATTTTTAAAGTTTATTATTGCTGACAAAACTGATGCACAATAGGTTACAAAACAACTTATTCAAATAACAAAAAAACAAATTGAAGGGTGTCAACTTTAGAGTTCATTTTTACAACAAAGATGAGAATATCTCATATGAATCATTAAGATATATAGAGAATATCTAGGCTGATTATATCCAGACAGAAATAAGTTCAGATTTTTTGCCAAAACAGTTTTAATTAATTCTGAAGATTTTTGTATTTAATTTCATGAATTACAAAACTGAAATTATCAGAATTGATCTCTCAAACTTTTGATCCTATCAATTTTGATTTATTTACTCCTTAAAAAGTTCTTAATGTTTAAAGATGTAATAAGTTATAAACTTAAAGAAAAGAATACAGTTTTCACATATAAGTTTGAAAAGCATTTAAAGAAAATTTGACTTTCACATATAGCAAAAATTCATAGGTATCAAAAAACAATATCATGTAATTAGGTTTTTGATGTTTCTTTATTCTCTTCTTGTCTTTCATTTATGTGAGTAGTGAGTGGAAAGTAATTCTTCCATATTATGAGAGGAGGTCACAAGATGTTACATCTACTTTCTCATAAAAATGCTATTTATAAGTAGGTCTTAGTAATCTTTTGCCTAAATTACAATTACAATTATTTAATAATTGTATTTTCACAAATACTTAAACAATAATTTACAGGTTAGATTCTGGTCAGCATGTTCAGAAACTATAAATATAAAGAACAAAAAGTCAAATGTGGACTTTTAAATTTAATATTTTGTTTTTTAACTAAAAACAAAACATTAAATTCATAACTGCTAGAAAATAAAAGAAAATGAAAAGTATTTTATTCAATTAAATTTAATAAATAACTCACTTTTATATTTAAAAAAAGGGAGGAAACTAGGAACAATTGAACTCAAGTTAGTGAATCAGAAACTGTTTTATGTAGTTTAAATTGTTTGAATAAGTTTTATGCTAACTCTTATAAAGGAGTTAGCATAAAACTTATCAAGTAAGCTACTTATTAACTATATAAAGATTTCAAGTTTTCTTTGCATACTACCTAGTCATGCAAAAAATGGCTCTACTTGCTTATAAAAAGCAACAAGATCTCATGATTAATAGCATACAAGTAACAAGTGTACATAGTAACTTGTGGTCTTCCTTTGTTAGTTAACATATTACAAAAATGTAAATCTAAGCATAACTACTAAAAAACTGTTTTATCATATTTTTGAGTTGGTTCTATGTTTAGAAAGTTCCTGATTATGTGACATTGTATTTACTATTGCTTTATCATTATTATTATTATTATTATTGTGTGCATTGATTCCATCCTACTCAATCAATAACAATGCCTAGTGCTATGCCAGACTAAATTATGGCAGAGCTATAGAAAAAGCTTTTATTTTGTTTATGTGCCTGTTAGTTTATGTGTATTTATGAATTTCCTGACAATGTTAGTATAGCAGTCTTCTGTAGTGTGTTGTGAAGCCCTAATGTTTCTAGACTGTGTAGTGAATGTGGTTGATGCCTGCACAAGAACGGACTATTAGCACAATAAATATCTTATCCATTCTCCACATATGCTTCATTTCACAGGCAAACTCTGAGTATTTACTAATTTTTCAGTATATATATTCTGTATTCATTTGTTATTTACCTTGTACCTTGTACTTCAAATGACTAACTACAAATGCTGAAGCATTTGAACACTAAATTTGACAGATAATTGCTTTGAAGTTTGAATGATGCTTCAAAGTTCAAATTGCTTGCATAATGAAAAAAATGAAAGAATGCATTCACTTGAAGTGTAAATGCAGTATATTGTGAACCAAAGTCATCTCACTGTTACTCTTGCATTATGCATTCAGTGTTTTTTCCACTTTATTTTTGGTATGTTTGGTTATATATACTGTATTGTATGTTACTGAACGATTTTTAACAATTTCTTCCTGTAATTTTTCTTTGTTGACAGTTTTTGAGCATGTGCTTTCCTTCTCTTGTGTATTCTTTAGTTCACAATTTCCATAATGGAACTTTTTAAACCACATTTAACATGTTCGAAATTTAGAAACATCTTCCCCATACACATTACAAATTTTTTTACTGCGTGTACAGCATTATATCCTTTCTGAAACACAAAGCATAATATGCCTTTTATGTTTTTTATCTGAAGACACTTCAAATATTCAAACAAAAAAAGAATTACAAAGTTTAAAGCAAGCTTCTAAACAAAGAATAAAATCTCACATTAGCAATAACTTGTTAAATTTCAGAACTATTATAATTAAATCACACATCTAAGTTAAGTAATGACAGCTATTAAAAATACACAAAAACTTTCTGTTTGACCCAATATAACCTTCACTTATTAATTATGGTATCCAAAAAGTTTGTGGAAGCAACAAAGTCTAAGAAGAAAATTGTAGTATCTGTGACTGAGGTAAAAAGAAACTTATCGCAAAGCATGAAAGCAGTACATGAGTGGCAGATAAGGCAACCATGTTTAAATTAAGATGCTGACGTCAACAATGTATGACCAGTTAATGAAATTTTCATTTTATTATGTAGTATTTATGTATTTTATTTATTGTTTCACATTTTAATTTTTTATTAGGGTATTTAACTGTATTATTTTTACTTTAAATTATGAATATTTTGCTGTTTTAAATTTATTGAAACTGGTATTATTTAGGATCTGGAAATGAATTAATGTCTTTCCATTATTTCTAATGGAAAAAATTGATATGGAGTTTGAATGGCCTCCAAGAATGAATTAAATTCAAAGTACAAGGCACCACTGTATTTTGAAAAATTATATCACAATTTAAACACTTTATACAGAAAAATTACAATACCTTATTGGGATTTACAACTTTAATAGTCTGTTTGATATTTCCAGTATTACTTGGAGGGATGACACTGCTCGTTGGAGGAAGCAATTGTAATTGAAATGTCTGAAACAAATTTCATCAATTACTTTTTCTTATTTAAAATAATAATTATCAAATAAAAATAAAACTAGAAGAACAAGAAATATATAAACATGTAAAATCATCATTTATACATGTATACCTTGGGAACTGCTGCTTGAAAAAGAAAATCATTCATTACTTTTGCAGTTTGATTACTTGCAGTCAAATATATTACAACCAATTGTGGATTATCAATTGGTTTTTCAAAATTAAAATCCAATTTTAATCCATTCTTTTCAAATATTGTCATTGATGGAATATCTATAAAAAAATAATTTTTTCTTATAAAAATATATAATCAATTAATTAAAAGAAACAAACTTAAAATTTATTTTTAATTAGTGAATTTACGAATCGATAATAAACGTTACTGCATGAAATTAGTATTATTTTTATTAGATTGTGTATTGATCAATATAATTTGTAACAAATGACAATGTCTTTGTGAGAATCCGAATTTGATATTCATTAGTTTTTAAATTGTCAAAAGTGATGTAATATTTTATCATAAAAATTATACATTTTCCCATTTTTTTGAGAGGACAAGGAAAAACTGTTTCCTTTTTCAACATTTTATTGATTTAAAAGTTTAGATCATATTCTATTTAAACTCTGAACTAACCCAACTCATTGTCATATGACAAAAGGTCTAACTCCTCATTGGAGATGGATTTGAGTATAAAAGGGTTTAACACATCAGATCCCAAGGCAGATTAACCATTTTCAGTTATTTCTTCAAGATATATAATTTTGTGCCTAGTCTCCATACATCTGCCTCCAAAAAGTGAAAGAAAGGAAAGTATATAACACATAGGTATAATTTTTATAATTTTGTAAACTATCACTCTCTCAATATGATATTATATTGTTTTTATTTGTATTTTCCTTTTTGTTCATTAACTCATTCATTTTTAGATCAAAGTGCCTCCATGCTACAAGAGAACAAGACCAAGAACAACTCTAATCTGATCTTTGCTTTTACATTAACACATTTACAGGTGTCACCTTACACATGAACTACCTTTTTTTTCTCTTATCTCATAAAATATGGCAGGTTTTCATAAAACTGTAGTTTTTTTTATTTATCTTTTACAATTACTTTACATTTCTTTACAATTTTTATAGCACCATATTGTAGCACTATGCTGGATAGTTTGGCAATTTGTTTCTTAACTCATAATGCCTAGAGCACAATAATGATTTCAGTTGACAAAATGGAAAGTTTTTACTTGAATATGAGACTGGTCACATTTTAATCACAGCAACTAAAAAACTCCAGTATGCTTTATTTTTTAGGGAACAAAACTGTTGCTTTTCAAAAAGAAGGAAGAAAATTCAAATGGGCATAGTAGTAGTTGTTTCTGCTCATTGAAGAGTTGACAACTAAACAATCATAACATTTTGAAAATTTACTGTTTTACTGGTAATAAAAAAGTCTGCAAATTTGCAGAGCCATTCTCAGAAAAAGATTGGGGTACCTTGGATTACGGTATTAAGGTCTAAGAGAAATTTTACATCTTGATTTCCAAAACAGTAGTTAGCTGTATGTGTTTGAGGAATTTTGAAAAATAAATTTGAATGAATTTATGTTATTTAGAACTGAATAAAATACAGTCTTCTAAATAAATGGGTTTCCATGTATGAGCAATTAATTAAATATCATAAACTAATATAGCATACATAATATTTTATTCAGTTTCCCACTTATTTAATAAAAGCTTATGGTTATAGAAATAATGAAATCAATATGCAATCAGATAGATTATTACATATGTTAACATTATATCAGATAATACTTACAATTCATGGAAGATTTTGAATTAATAATTCCATCAATTACATTACAAAGTTCCCCAGATGATGAAATGGTAGTTTGATCTGAAATTATATAAAATCAAGTTGATAATATAATACATTTTAAATGTTTTGTAAAACAATCTTATTTATAATATTGGAGAAATTTTTATTAATAATACTTATTTTCATATATGAATGTATGGTAGATAAGAACAATTTTAAATGAAAGATAAACATACAATAACCTGATTTTTAGATTAATACCAAATCATTGCAAGATTACATCAGGCTGTAATAATGCTACTATTAATAAATTCAATTCAAATTCAAAATTCAAATTATTAATAATAATTCAAAATATTAATTAATAAGCATTATCACAATAATATTATAATTGTAGAATTGTTAATCCTTGTAATTTTATTCCTACATCATTGCAGTGTTTTCTTAATTAGAAAATCAAAGTACTTATGTTTAGTTTCAATTTTCATCAAATATTTTATTAAGGCCATACTGCTTTCATCTTTAGCATTCATGACAAAATAAATCTGTTTACAATCTGTAATATTTATGATTTTACACATAAAAAATCGTATTGCCACTTTGTTTTACATTTGATAATGTTTCATAATATTCCTATTATGTAGCATCAGTATATACATTTCATTGTAATTCTTGTAATTTATTTATTTTTTCATACAGTAAATATGTTTGTGTATATATAAAATAATATTTTAATTAAAAACAATTGAAGATGCAATTAAAATTATAGTTGTTTGATATCAAATTTCATAGATGTAAAAAAAATTGAAAAAATGTTAGTTTAATTATAAAATATAGAAAATAAAACATATGTTGAAATATCTCATTAAAATTTCCAATAAAAATTGCATTTAATATTACATATCAAAAATAGAGTATAATATATTTGATACTAATATTTTTGTATTTTTCTTATTTTATACCAAATGAGAAATATTAATAAAATATTACAAAATAATTTTCATTCCCCCAAAAAATGAGATAATATGTTATCTCTAAAGAAATATGAAAACCTAAAGCTATGAGAGTTCTAATTAAAGAGAGTGAAAAAGAGATTAAACTTCAGTGAAATAAACATCAAATTGTGGAAAAAATTGTAGATAACTATAAGCAATTTTTCTTTTCTCTTAGTAATTCAAACAGTTTGTAATAATTAACAGCATCAGTTTATAGTTTTATCACAATCATTACTTTCCCAAATTATTCTTGTTTGTAAATTAAAAAATCATGTTTTCTTTAAATTCTAATTTCTTTTTTCTTTATTACCATATATTTCTGCAGATAAGACGACCTTCAGAAAGACGAGGTATAAGTTTTCATCAAAGTTTTATAGTTTTAGCATATATCTGTCCTATAAGACAACCCCAAACTATCAATAGCCTAAGAATTTAGTTTAGATCAGTGATCATCATCTGGATAATAATACTGTATAGCATATAAGGAATTATGTCCTATTCGTAATTTTTCGAATAAACAAATTTTATTTTCTTGCATATGGCAGCACTGCCTTGCAATTGTTGCAAACATTTGCACTGATTCGGGTAATGACCTTGACTATTCATGAAAACATTGTATTGGCTATTCTATTTTGTGGACATACCCTACTCTCTACTAGTAAATAATTATGGTTTGTCTGTTTTTTTCCTCAGTAGTTTAATAAACATAACTTTTAATATTTATTTTGTTCTAGTATTGTTTTTATTGTTACATAACTCATATAGCATATTTAAATAATATGATAGATTTTTCGATAAGTTGTAGTAATTTTAAATATCAACTGCAGTTGGTGGTTGCATGCATAAAGGAAAAGCCTCCTTCATCATTGTTATCTTTTTGCCTGTAGAATCATGTGCCAAATCACAAACTCACATGTACCTCTAACAAGTTTCATTGTAGGTTGTGTCACATGTTCAAACAATTTGTACTATAAGTGTAATCAGCATATAATTTGTGAAGTGTGAGCCTACTCATGGAACCAATGAAAAGAAGGAAATATGAAGCAAGCTTTAAATTAAAAGTCATAAAACAGGCTAAACAATCAAACAATTGTTGCAGCAAGGGCTTTTGATATAACAGAAAAGATGGTAAGAGATTGAAGAAAGAATGAAAATGCTATTAAAAAAAAATGCCAATGAAAAAATGTTCTATGAGGAGAGGAATAGCTTGCTGGCAGATTTAGAAAATAATATTGCAGAATGGGTACAAAAACAGAGGCAGAATCGTTATGTTGTTACAAGAAATATGATTAGGGTTTATGCATTGAAGTGGGCATGAGCCAATCCAGAACATGGCAAAGAAGTTAAAGCAACGGTAGGTTGGTGCAATTGTTTCATGAACAGAAAAAAATCTGGTAATACGACAGAAAACAAAACTTGCACAGAAATTACAAGATCTTGACCATAAAGTCATGAGTTTTCACAAGTTTGTTATTGGTATGAGGCAAAAATACAACATTCCAATATCTAATATTGGAAATGCAGATGAAACAGATAAACTTTGACATGATAAACAATAGAACTGTGGAAACAAAAGGCATAAAAACTGTTTAAAAGAAGTACAGGCCATGAAAAGACCAGGTTTACAGTAGTATTAACATGCATGACAGATGGAACAAAGTTAAAACTTATGGTCATTTTCAAGAGGAAAACTACTCCTAAAATAAAATTCCCTCTAGGCATTTTCATACATCTTCATGAAAAGGGGTGGATGGACGAGAATGGTGTAAAATTGTGGATGGAAAATGTGTGGCAGAGGCAACCAAGTGCTCTACAAAATCAACACAGTTTGTTGGTATGGGATATGTTTTGCAGTCACGTAACTGAGAACACTAAAAATTGCTTAGTACGAAACAATACTAAGATTGCTGTTATACCAGGTGGTTTAACTTTGATGCTACAACCTTTAGATGTCTCTCTGATTAAACTACTCAAAGATCACATGCATGAACAATGGAATAACTGGATGATGAGTGGTGAAGTCATATATGAAAGGTGTAGTTTTGCAGGCTGCGTCATTTGATGTGCTGTGTGATTTTGTAATCAAATCATGGGAAAAAGTAAAAGTAAAAACAGTGATCAAATCCTTCAAAAAGTGTGGGATTTCTAATGCTATGGATGGCACTGAGGACAATTTATTATGGGATACTGATGACAAAGTGGAAATCAACTCGCTAGATACAGAATGAGACCCATATGACGAGCTTCTCAACAACGAAAGTGAGGATGTACTTGAGGAGTTATTTGCCTTAGATGATGAATGTGAGAATTTTGCAGTATTTAAATACATTGGTGAGTGATTTGTTTTATTTTATAATGGTTTTAATTTATATAAATTTCAATCTAATTTTTTTTGTATCTGTCCTATAACACAACCCTGGATTATTGGAACCTTTTTTTATGATCAACTATCGTCTTTTTTGTGACTGTCTTAATATATTTCTGCCTGTTTCATATTTCATTACTTAAATTAATAATTTAAATAATTTCTTGATGATTAGATTATAAAAGTTTTTATCTTGTAATCAACATTCTGCTATTCTAGTTATTGACAAGACTATGTCTTGTTTATAAAATCATACTGCCAGTTTATGTTACCAGCTTAGAGGTATGAATGAGTACATGTCAAGAGTTGATATTTGGCAGAGTATTAGGTGCCCAAATCATGTGCGCACAAAAAAATCCAGACTTGTAGGTAGTCAGGACCAAGAACTGAGTCAAAATAAAATACAAAATGGTGACCCTCTTCTACAAACAGGCAAAACAGCCACTTCACCCCACCAAAGTCAGGTGGGGGAGAGTACCACCCACAGTCATTCTAAGAAGTAAACTCTGACCTTAGGATTTAACACATAGTTTCTTCTATGTTAAATAAAATTTGTAATCTAATTTTGTAAATTTGGGAGTGCATCAAATATGACGTTAAAACGGTTTTATGTCGTTACAAGTGGGCTTTTTTTAACATTATCTAGTATAGTAAAAATGTGGGACTGATAAAAATTTGACATTATATTAGGGTTGTCATTACATTCGATGATGTTATAATCGGGTTAAACTGTATATTGTTTGTGCAAAATAAAAAAATAATTTAGGACGATACAATAGCCATGATTATTTTTTTCACAAATGGGAAAGTTTCGTTACGCATCGACAAAAATGCAACCCAGGTCGACACACAATGGAGAGAAATTTTGAAATTACATAGGTTAATTTTACCGAAAATGCATCGTGGATGACTCGTGGTTGTGGCCAGCAAAGTTTGAATGATCATGCCCAAAAGCAGTGATACCAAAGAAGATTGGAGAATGAGAACGAGACCTGCCTTGATCGTCAAAGTGATTCCACATTATAAAATATTTATAAAGAATAGTCTTATTTCTAACTTAGAAAAAAAAAATAAATAAAAATTCTTCTTTTTAACTAAACAAAAAATCCAAATTGTCCTCTTATAGTATATAGATTGAAAAGACTAAAAAAAAAAAAAAAAAAATACAAACTGATGCGTAAGACTGTTAGTATTTGAAAACTTCATCAAGACTCTTTCATTAATAAATATGAATCAGTGTATTTTTTTTAATATAAGTAAAATTGAAAGAATTTAAATATCTAAAGGATTTAGGTGAGAAGGGCATCCAAACTTTCAAAATATTAGAGCTCTACTCAATATTTTGAGAAACAGCCCCTTCTTAACTGGAGGTCTATAAAAGACACTTTGATAATAGGGCTGTTTGGTTACTGGCTGAGATGGAAAACTTTTTATATTTTGATATAAAAAATGTAAGAAAGCACATAGAAATTTCTTTCTTAATGAATTACAGTAGTCTTATTATTTATTTGTTAATTTTTTGTGATTTTATGATTGACCATATTAACACAATATAATAACAAATTGTGTTAATGTAAGAACAATGATCTTTTGCCTAATACTGCATTCACACACAATCCATGACTCACTTTAATATTGATTTACTCACAGTCTTGATTGAAACTGTTGCCAGTTGAATGTCAAGCTGTTTGCACAGGCAGTCCACTTTAGAAGAACCCGACTATTATATGCGATAATAAAAGTGACATACGAGGTCTGTTCAAAAAGTATCGGACTTTTATTTTTCCGCATAAACCAATGATGCGCGGGAGGCCTCTTTTGGTGGGGTTGTGGAAGGGACACTCATGCACAGCTCTGAATTTTTTCCCACCTGCAGGAAGCGTCAGTCGTTGGCAGTCGGCCTATGAGTGAGGACATGTAGCGAGCACTCGTCAGATTCCACTAAGTTGGAAAATGATTGAACAACGTGAGCAGCGATATTACATCAAATTTTGCCAAAAACATTGGCAATACCCAAGCGTAAACCATTCGCAAGATTCAGCAGGCTTTCAGGAATGATCCTTGAGGCCAAAAAAAAAGCGTGGCAGGTCCGCAGCAATATCAAGGTCATGCTGACAGTTTTTTCGACTCTCATAGGGTGGTGTATTGTGAGAACGCACCACAAGGCCAAACCATCGCAAAGGAGTACTACCAGGAGGTCCTTTGTCATCTTTCTGATGCTGTGCGACGCAAACGACCGGATCTGTGGTCGATCAAAACTTGCCAGCTCCATCGTAATAATGCATCCGCCCATTCTGCGCATCTGATTTGGGCTTTCGTCGCCAAACACGACACTCCTGTGGTTCGTCATGCTCCGTATTCTCCCCACATGGCTCCGTGTGACTTTTGGCTATTTCCCAAGCTGAAAATGCCGCTAAAAGGAACCCGATTTTAGTCGAGAGAAGACATCGTGCGGAATGCGACGGACCAGCTGATGGCCATTCCAAAAGATGCGTTCCAGCAGTGTTTCCAGCAATGGCAGAACGCTGGGAGAAGTGTATACATTACCAAGGAGACTACTTTGAAGGGGATTAGGGTTTTGTACCTCAAAATCAATAAGTGTATTTTTGCTGACCAAAGGTCCAATACTTTTTGAACAGCCTTCGTAAATATGCAATAAGTCACAAACACCAACAAAAACAAAAAAAGGGTGTTTTGGTTACAAATAAATACTTTTTCTTGCCATATATCTAATAATAGCCAGAGCTCATTGTTTCTCCAAATATCTTTTTTTTTTTCTTTGTTGATGGTCTGACATGTTCTGCAGCCATCTTGTTTCCTCTCGTGCACATGGGATTGTGGGAACTCTCTTATAACTGGATCTAATTTCAGAAACTCTTGTGTCTATCGCAATTGAACCTCATTTCAGTTGAGATTGAAACAGTTGAGAAAAGTTGCACCACAGCACAGTCACCAATCTTATCACAATCTAGATTGAAATGCTCAGTGTGAATGAGGTACAAGCGTAGAATAAAGAATACCTAATAATTTTAACAAATTCTGAAAATTTTGAAAAATATTTAAATTCTTGTCTATTCTGATGATTTTGAAATGTTTTATTTCTACTTGTATACAATATTGGTTGCTTCATGAAATGATTTATTAATACAACTATTCATAAAGCAAACTAATAGTATTTATATTTATATGTTAGATTTATATTCAAAATCCTAATGAAAACTTTTTATTAAAATTTACTCATAGTAACTGTATTTATGTTTTTATATTAATTACTTTTTAATGAAGTGATGTCCACATCACCTAATAAATCTAATAGATCGTTTCCATTTCCGGGTCCAGAAACTAAATTTTTTGATATTTCTGTAGGTTTTATCTGAGATTCATTGGAACCACCAAGAAGATCTAAAAGTATAGTCTGAAAATAAATAAATTAGTATTTTATTAAACAGATTTATAAATTTTTAAATTTTATATATTACTTTCACTTCTCATAATGAGAATCTTATTAAAGTAAATCTGTATCTTACCGAAAAGCTATTTGATCAATAACATACAGTTTAATTTGAAATTATACTAGCTTGCTAGTCATCATCACTAATTTTTAAAACATAATTATGAGAAAAAAATATGATGATTATTTTCAAAACATAAAAATAAAATTTTTGTTTTGAAGACAGGAATGTAAGTTAAGTTATTTTTTTGATTTATTTATAGTGATTTTTGTAAATCAATTCTTATAAATTTAATTTTTTATTCTATACTTATATGATAAAATTAATTTTCATTCTGTCTTACCGAATCAGGAGTCTGTTGCTTTTCTGATAAAGGTTCAAGTTCAACGATACCATTTTTAAGTTCTTCTTCCGTAGCTTGACCATTCTGCAGCAAACTGCCATTCTTGCTTTCAATTTGGGGCATACGTTCCAGAAGGCTTGCCCTACATAAAAAGATTTTTCACTTTAAAAAATAAATTTCAGATACAAAATATAAATAAAATATTAAATATTTTAAAAAACTGTATCGATTCATTTTTTAAATAATGAAAAATAATTTATTAAAGTTAACATTAATAAAATTATAAAATCTCTACAGTTTTATTGTTTTATTAAATTTATTCTTGACTTATAAAATATCTTAAAAAAAATTTATTTAAATGAATGTAAAGTATTGAAGATTTAACAATTAATTCTGTAAGAAACATTTGATTCTATGAAAGTTTTGAATAAATTAAAAGTCAAGTAAACTGAGAGTGCCATTTATATAGAAAATATCAAACCTAAAACCTATTCCTATACTTCCCATATAAATGTTAGTCTTGATTTACATGATTTTGATTTACACGTAACTTTCATAAAACCAATCTACCATGTAAATCTTTCAAACATAAATCAGAAATGTATACAATTCTGTACATAATAGATTTAAAAAATTAATATAATCTAGCTTGATACTCATGCCAAGTAATGAATAGCAGGAAGAAAAGTTCATTGAGTATGGTTATTAATAGTTTTTTGATACCAAAAAAAAGAAAACTATTAATAACACTGTACTCAGTGAACTTTTCTTCCTGCTATTTTAAAAATTGTATATAAAGAGTATATTTTGTATAAATATATATATATTTTTATTACATACAATAGAACCTCATTAAGTCAAAGTTTAAGGGGTAAAAATATCCTGATTTTGAGTTAATGAGTTTAATACCTGATTTTCTTAAATTTTTCTGTGGCTGTAAATTTCCTGTTATCAAGCCATTTCTCAAAAATGTTTTCTTTATAAGATTACAAGATATTTCCAAGAATATCTTATTTCTTTTATAGAATATGTTCCTGCTGTTTATGTGCTGAAGTGGGTAAACTGCAAGACACTATATATATAGTTTCAGAAATTCATAAAATTAAAGTTTTTAATTTTTATGTTTAGTTCATACTTCAATCTAAATTAAATTTTGAAAATATAACCTTAGAAAAACTAGAATCAATACTTTTGGGCAAAAGTATTACAACAGTATTTTGTAATATTCAGATGAATTTATAATAAAACAATCAAACTTTAATCTATATGGATAAAACTGTAATGATCAATATATTTGGATGTTTGTTGCCATATTCTGGAAACCATCTGAACATATTTTAACTAAACTTAATATTATGTTGATTCAGAAGAAGATTCAAATATATAAGATCTCAAAATCTACTTTATATAAATTAAAAACTAATAGATTTCTATCTGTCTCTTTGTTTGCTAGATGGCAACACACATGAATCAGATGTCCATCAAGCAATTATATATAAGAAAGCTGTACTATTGAAGTACAGTATTATGTTTAGAGAACTAACATTAAAAACTGTGATTAGAAAGAAGTTGGAAAAAGTGACATCACTCTGCTAGATGGCATTAGATATATGCATGACAGATTTTTTGAAGCATTTTGTGTTGTGTTCAATATAGTTAGGCCTAATTATATTGGTTATAAGTTTTATTTATATCTATATGTAAAAAAGTCATACTGGAAGAACTAGCTGGGGCAAGCAAGTGGGATTGAAAATAGAATCTGCAAAAGATGAAAGTAATATTTAATGAATTTGTTATGAAAACGATTATGACAAACAGAACTGAGATTAAAGAAGTACAAAATTATATCTAACTGGGTCAAGAAATAACTATGGATAATAATATCATAAAATAAACAGAAGAATTAGGATTGGATGGAGTACATTTGGCAAAAATTGCATAATTCTAAAAAGCAGCATACAACTGTGTCTAAAGAAAAGTATTCAACCAATGTATTCTACTAGTATTTATCTATGGAGCAGAAACATGAAACTAACATGCAAAACAATACAGAGGCTACAGACAATACAAAGAAATATAGAAAGATGCATTCTGGGCATTATGAGAAGAGATAGAAAGTGCATCATCTGGATATGAAGTCAAACAAAGATATATATCATTGAGGATCAAGTATTCAAAATGGCAATGACTGGACACATTGCTAGAAGATAATACAACCAATGATCTATAAATATCCTAAACTGGTACCCATAAAGGATCAAATGCCAAAGACGGATCCAAGTATGATGTGATGAAGTAAGGAAAGAGGTTAGCATAAATTGGAAAACCAAAGCATTGAACAGAAAAAAATGGCAAAAATTAGAGGAGACTTTCATCCAGCAGTGGATTGACAGTGGTTGATGATGATGATATAAAAGTTAAAATATAAATGTTCATATGTATGTTAGGTAAAGCCTTCTATATTGTTTAACATATTTGCACCAAATTTGGCATGAATATTCTTCAATACCATAGAAAAAATACTGCGAGCGTCCCCACACCAACCACTCCTAAAACCCATTCCCTCTTAACTACAGTACAAGCAATTCTTTGTATTTTTGCAGTTTCATTATTGTAAACACTCAGATCAATAAATGTACAAGTTACTAAGACAATTGTTTTTTATCATCCTCTCTCACCCAAAGTTCACCAATCCCCCTCTTCAAAAGTCTGAGGAACACCAGGTACACACAACTAACATATTAATAAACATATTTGATTTATAAATGTTTTGATAATATATCTTTATATAAGTACATAAATAATAAAAATAAATAATATATAGATATCTATGAATTCTACTTGTTAAAGCTACCAAATATTTAATTTTCTTTAATTTTAAAATGTTTTCAGCTCTTTTTGAGCCATCTTCAATACAAACTACTTTATATTAGATTTTTTAAGGACAGCACAAGTTTAGAAAAATGTGTGATCAAAAGCAACACTAAAGGTCAAGTTATAAACTCCATAATGTAACCATATGGTCATACTGTATTCAGTAAGAAAGATTTGGATCCAAACTTATGGTAGGTTACAGCAAATTGACGAACTGCACATGTGCTAAGTCAGTTGCTATACAATCTGAAGTTGTGCCGGAAGCAACAAATTGGTTGAAATGTATTTTTTGACTAACAATGCTACTTCTGAACAATATAAAATTTTAAAATAAGAATTACTTTGCCATAAAAAAGAATAGAAAAATGATAAAATGAATAAATAATTATAGTGTTAGATCTGGCAACATCAGCCGATGATTTTGCACATTCTCATGATGGACTGCTTCATATGCCGTAAAAAAGTTTGTTCCTTAAAGGATAAGGAAACGGCCTTATGGTATTTTATAACTATTGCTATAGATCCACTGTAGCAAACATTTATGTATACGGATGCAGTTATGTTACAGAGTTTATAACTCAACCCTAAGATGCTAGCAGAACGAGTGCTAAATACAGACTGATGGAGCATCTGCACAATCCGGGACTTCCCCTCTCCTTGTCACTTGTTATGCAAAATGTTGCTCGTTAAGCAAGTCATTTTTTCTCAATCTGTTTTGCTTGTTATGCAAGGTGCTCGTTTAGTGAGGTTCCACTGTATATATATCATCAAGTTTTAGTAATAGAAATAAATAACTTTTAAATGTTTTTAAAATTAAATACATAAATCAAAAAAGAAAAACCTTAAATGATCATGCTTGGAGAAAAGTGTTGAAAATTCCACTGCCCTCTGTTGTAACTCCACATTCATGTGACCACCAAAAATATCAATTAATTTTTTAACTCTCCTAAAAGATAAATAAAAATCTTTTAAAAGTATACAAAATTATTAAAGTTTGTAATAAATTTTTAAATTATATAATTACAGCCTTATTATTCAAATTATGAACACACAAAATTTTAATCGTAGCAAGCTTAAATAAAACTAGAATACAATATTCAACCCAAACTTATTTTGTTATCCACTTAACTTTTTTAAATGTAAACCAATCAATCAGATATATAATATAAAAATTAACAATAATTTTGTAAAAATTTAGTAGAAAACATTATAGTTACTTGTTAATTCATTATTGTTTTATGAAAATTAAAACCTATTAAAATGAAGCATCTACTCTGATGAATATTTTGCTATATATATTTTATTCCATTACAGAGCAAACAAAAATTACTCATGTTCCAATTAAAATATGTTTCAATTTTTTAAAATATCTGTCACCTCCAAGACCAGAGTGGAGTTGGATTATTAGAATTGCCAAATTAATGGATATTTTCACATTCTTGCAGATATTGTTGTACATTTTATACCAGCATATGATGATGTATGCTTTCCATTTGTTTATATATGCTCTTTAATCAGTCTGAAGATAATACAATGTATGACTATACAATATTAAAATTAAGTAAAAATCCTACAAAAATGTTAACAACATATTATTGTACATAATAAAGATTTTCAATGAAATCATTATAAATATACAATAAATATATATAATCATATATAAATATATAATATAATTAAATAATATATTATTAACAAGTATAATAAATATATAAATAAATAAATATATAATAATCTGTGCATATAATAATTCTTTACCAGATACTATATACACAAAGCTACACATGCTCTGAGTACGAGAATTGTTTTTATATGTACAGTCCTTGCATGGCTTGTAGAAAAGAAAATTTATCAGTCATGCATGTTACTGAATACATAACATGTAACACGTGTACAAGCTCTATTAAAGCAATGTTTATTTACCACAATACAATGCAGACTATGTATAATTTACTGTAATCACACTGCACAGAAGTTTAAGGTCCTCCTAATTATTTTTTTTAGATAATAATAATAATTAGCTTCTTCTGGCACCCGCTAAAAAATAGCCAATAATCCAGTCACTTTTTTCAAAGGGTGCTGGACTAATAAACTTCTACTCTGATGTAAAGTTGACCCTGTCATAAGACTAAGGAATTTATTTTTGTGGATCAAATAATCAAAAATTTAGTGACTTGTGTGAATACAATATGTTTGAGCATTAGACAAAAAAATTGTATAGAAGAAAGAAAAAGAAGGAAGTTAATTTTCCTGGGAAAAGGGATTGATTCTCAGATGACACTTATAAACTTCAGTGACAGTTTAAGAATCCAATTAAAACAAAATTGATTGTCTGCCAACAAGAGCTTATGGGCAGTAGTGGGATCTTTGAGAAGTATGTTAAATGGAGAGACAAAAAAGAGAATTGCATCCAAGTCTTCAAACAAAAGAGTCATCTCTATTCTTGCTGCTTCCCATGAACTTACCCAGAGAGTTCAAGTGATCAAACAAGATGTGTTCTGTTTTCAATAATCAAACTTTTTTCAAGTCCTCTCATCATCTATCAAATAATCTCTACATTGCCTATATTCTCTTCTGTCTCAACTCATCCAGCCTGACTTCATCTATAATACAAGTATTTATTAACCTCCCATCCATATTTGAGCAGCTCATGTGCACATGTAGGCATGAATGCACAATCTCTCTCTCTCTCTCTTCAAGAACTATGCAGTTATGCACTTTTATATGTTATACACAGTGAGTAGGACATATGATATAAAGGAACTTCTTTAATGTAAATAATTTGTCTTAGAAAAGAAATCTGAAGTCTAGTCTCCTGTCTAGTCCTGTCTCTCTCTAATGGTCATACATTAGTCCATAAAAAAGGGGTTAAAATCCTACATGTGTTTCGAGTTTGTCAGTTTTCTCAAAGAATAAACTAACTGGTATCAGATATACTAATGTTTTATAATGATCATTAATCCAACTACAGTATAGCAATATACTTCACAATAAATATGCATTTTAGTTAATTGTAAAAAATTTATTGTAATTAATGATACACCAATCATGTAAATTAATGTATTTTTTTTATTCAGCAATTTTTGCAACTTCTTCAAATAAATGAATATGATCTATTTTACATAAGAAAACTGGTGAAAAATTTCCTCCTTCACAATAAATTAAAAATTATAGTTTGTAAGACATCCAATAATCCAGTCAATAATATTGTTATAGCTATAAATAAATCATTTTTTAATCTATTTATAGTCGTATCAATATCTTTTTGCTTTTATATCAGTTAGCAGAATTACAACAAATGATCTGTTAGTATGAGTTGAGCTCGTTAATATTATAAGAATTTTTAACTTTTAAAATTCTTTTAATACAATCTGAATAAAGTTATCATTGTAATAAACAACTAAATAAAAATAATGATTACAGAATCATTGCACACTATGAATTATCTGATGACACAATAAAATATGTCATAACATTAGCAAATGCACTTCATTTACAATAAATAGCATTAAGATTTGTTAGATAATTCAATATCTGAAATGTAAGTTTTACATATTTACATTACATGATTAATTTTATATTATTTATTTCACAGTATTCACTGATTCACAAAACTTTTCTGATAATTATACTGTATATTCTATCATTTTTCATTAGTTGGTGATGTTTAGAATAATTTAAAGATCTCATCATTTTATAGATTATCAAAACTTAAAGCCTAATCATAGTTTTCTTCAGAAACATTGGAATAAGTAAATTATAATTAGTGATAATGATTTGTTACTATTGACTAATAATTACTAGAAGATTCAAAATTAAATTTTATACAAGACTTACGGAGCACAAGATGAATATCGAACACTGAGTTTCATCAAAGATGTAATAGCATACTCCCTTGTTACTAGTGTCATATGAATATTTGTTAGAAGTTTTTCATATAAATCAATAACTTGATCATCTGTAACCTATAGAAAAAAAATAATTACTTCAAAATTTTGGATTACTTTTTAATACTTACGTTTTATATATGTGTATATAAGTGTGTGCAATAATCTATTACATACATTTAAACTTTCTAAATCTGGCCCATCAGTAGAATTCAAAAGATCGCCATATTCTCCAAGACACCAAGTAGTCACTTGTATTAAAGGTTGATTATTATCCAAATCTCCTGATATGTTTTTCCATAACTGTTGGGTTGTATATGCATGTAAACTACTTGTTTCGGATATAAGTTGTATAAAATTTCCAACCACATCATCTCGAACATAATTCCCTGTCTAAAAACCATATTTTAATTTTCTAATCTGAAGCAAACTTATAAAAATTTTACGTTAAAATTACTTACAGTTACTAATACTTTAATCATGGTGTCTATATGCCACTGTTTGTTAGGTGCATATCTAAATAAAGTAAAATATTCTCATAAATAAAGTGAAATCAAAATGTATTGGGATATAATAACTAAAAATAATATATGTATAATTATAATATATGAAATTATCATCATCATCAATAACAGTATACAAGATGATATTAATATAAAACAAAATTATTTTTTATTTTAATAAATCTACAAATATTATCTGAAAATTAATCATATAATATCTTAATAATAACAACTAAAAAAGCGTTATTTATTTACATATACTGTATTTTTATGAACAAAATATTCAAATTTCTAATAAATATACATATATATATATATATATTTATTAGAAAACACAGACACACACGTTCAGAAATATTAAATTTCAAAACTAACTAATTCAGTTTTTGTTCAGTTAAATATTTAAAATTTTAAATACTATGTAATCATAATTATGCTTTTCTCATAATAAATTACAAAATTCTGACAGAAATTTTTAAATGTTATGATTCTATTTAAAAGATTTATGATATTTAATAAAGAAATTAACTTTTAGGAAGTTGAAACAGAGTTCAGACTTTTCTCTTAAATTATCACTAGTATTTTTGATAGGCAATCTAAGATTTATAATGTTTTGATTGTTTATATATGTATATTTATAAACAACATTTTCTTTTTAAGAAAAAGAACAGTTCATACATATTTATTATAATTTATTAACGATTATTAACAGAAGAATTCTATAAAATAAAAAATAAAAATACTTCTTTAAATACAGATTTACTGGAAGATTACTAGATCAATTTTATGAAGTTTATTTTATGAAAAATTAAATTTTACTAGCATTAAAAATAAAATGCTATAATAAATCAAGAAATTTAACATTTTAAAAATTAAAATTAATATGTAATAAAACTATAAATAATATAACTAAATAAAGTCCATTTGATAACCAGATGGCCAAGGAAGTTAATGCAGCCTACTGCTCTGGAAACCTTAAATCAAATCTGCATGGGCAATCCTAGGAATGTTCCATGTTCGCAATAAGATGGATCCCCATCTCTCACCATCTCCACATAGGCCTAACCAAATCCATGACAGGTGCAATTAAAAAGGCCATCTTAGTACCACAAAAAAGAAAGTACAATTAAAAAGTCCATTAAAAAATTTCAACTAAACATATTTGCTTTAACACAAAATTAAAAATGCTACAATTTATTAATTAAACTGTAAAATTATTGAAACAGATAAAATATTCTGTCCAATTAATGGACAACAATATTCTGATGGAACTCATCATGGCTGACATTAATTTTTATTTAAAACCAAAAAGCTGATAATGCTATAATCTATTAAAAATTCAGTGAATTAATTACCATATTTACTCAAATATAAGACGATCTTGCATATAGGACAAGGTGTGACTTTAAAGATCAAAATAAAGAAAATTAGATTTATTATTACAATTCTAATTTTATTTCATTTAATAACAAATAAAATATCAAATGCATGTAAATGCTGACATTGCCCTGCAAAAATTACTGGCATTTTAAACTTCAAGGAAAAATCTTGTAAAATCAACATAATTTGTTCATGTAAAGCAGGACAATCACAAACCTTTTTTGCCAATACTTAACAGTTGAATTCACTCTTCGTCGATTACACTTATGAGTTTCTCCAAATTTCTAAAAAATTATCTGTTTTCAGGTGGGAATGAATTAAAACTTATATCGGGCTCCCATGTAATTTTGGAATTCAATTAAAAAGCTTTGCTTTTCCTATTGCAATTCATCTTTACTCCTGACAATACACAAGAACAATTCAAATGACTGAGATAAAATACTTTTGTTTTTAAACACCAGATGGTGAGAATCCAGTAAAATACGCAAATACATAGTTTACAAAAATTATACAAAAACGAAAAGAATCTTTCGCTCGCACATATAGGATGACGTAGATTTTTGAGCAGTGAAAAATGGATATAAACCTTATTTTATATGCAAGTAAATATGGTATTTTTAAACAAACCTTTAATTAATATTATGATATTGTGTATTTGTATGCAGTAATAATAAATAATTTTATCAAAACTTACAATTCAGCAGCAATAAAAAGATTAGAGGAACACTGTGACTTGAACTCTGGATCAGCCTTTTCAAGAAAGACCAAAAGCTCTTTTGTTGTACTCTGAATATTATTAGTATTAATAAGAGCAAAACAAAGTTCCATTGCACGCCTAAAATGACAAAACAAATTTTATTGCAAACTCAATATATTTTTACACATTATATAATTAAACTTGAAGGATGTTCAAAATGTAAAATATTTTCCCTTATATATAAACTATTTACTATGTGTAGCAAAAATATGCTACTTGTGATCTAATTTCTTAAATCAGTTTTAAGCAATAAATTTAATATTATGATAGAAAATATAGTGTAACTCATTTACAAAATTTATATATTATATCTCTCCTGTATCAATTAATAATACAAATAAAATTATATAAAAATAATTTAATATATATATTCACAATATTTGATTATATAATTGATTAACAGAACTAACAAAATTTAGTGGATGTATGAATATATATCAATTAGCATTTGTATAATTTATAAATAATCTTTTATATTTGATACAATACTTATATTTGATCACAACAGGGCAAAAATTACAAATAATAAATAATGCACACAATTATATGTAACTTAAATGAAACTAATACATTATTTTCAACAAATATACATGTCATACAAACAAAAAGAAATCTTAATTCAACAAGAAATCTTAATTCAACACAGACAAATATTTCATTAAATTGAATCTTCAATCATACCAATACAATACAATATTAAAATAATTCTAGAACTAAATTACGAAATTACAGAAATATTAATTTATCAAATGTATTCTCAGAAAATTTTTTAAATTTTTATTTTGATCATTAGTTAGTAAGTCAAAAGATAAGACTAATATCTTAATATTAATATTTGGGCTAAGGATTTATAATTTTAATCATGTTTTCTCAATTCTAACAACACATTTCATTTATTATAATAAAATATGTTTCTAAAAGAAGTATATACACAAAAGTTCTAAATACATTAATTTCATGGAAGAATTTTCAACTTTCATCACTTAAGAATATAATGAAAAATATACAGAATATGTTTCTTTCTAACAAATGTGGTAAATATAATTTATTTCAATTATGTATAATATGATTGTAATATGATTTTAATAAACCTTTTTGGTATTTTAAGCCTTTCAAGTTTTTAATTTCTTCTTGAAATTTTAAAATTATTACAGGGGGTATTAAAAAATTAAAAAATTCAATACAGGGGGTGCAAAAGTAGGTATACAGTTGTTATTATGGAAAAAAGATACAGGAAGAAAATAGAGAAAAAAACATTTATTTTTATGTACAAATTAAATCACAAATAAGGAATATGAACTAATAAAAAATAAAATAATAATGAACACCAAATATTTGTATTTCTCAGATTCTCAACTGTATACCTACTTTTGCAACCTCCATATATTAATTTCTTGATATTCATTACAGTATTATATTGCAAATAATATAAAATTTTATTTAAAATCTATATTTAAAAATATAAAAATAGTCTAGTTAACTATTCTTTTATGGCCAATCTTAGTTTTATAAGTTGAGCTTAAAGTACATAAATTAATCTCTTGTAGGCAAGATTTTAAGTACCAAAGTTTTAGAATAATTCAGATGCAAATTAAACAAATATTTGCTACTGTTGCCCAAGGATATAGATTATAATTACAGTAGAGCCTCGAAAACTCGGCCTAATGTGGACCGAAGGGTGGCCGAGTTTGTGAAAATGCCGGGTTATCGGGAATGGCGTTAAAAAAATAAGTATGAGTGTGGAGTCCTCAGAAAATACTGTACTATATGTATGTATTGTTTGCTTGAGAATACAACAAAGAATAAACTGCCCAAATATCCTTAAACAAAGGAAAAGTACATCTTTTATGAAGGCATAGAGCCTTTACTATATGAAAATGAAAATGAATGAATACACTGTACAGTAATTTACGTGATAAGATAGACCTGAGAAAAATACTTTATGAGGCATAAAGCTGTCTATATCATGAAAAGTAATTAACTAAGGATTTTTTGCCCTGCCAGGGTGTGGCCGAGTTATCCGGAGTGCCGGGTTATCGAGTGCCGAGCTTTCGAGGCTCTACTGTATTAATCTTTTCAGAAATAAAAGATACTACCTGATACTGAAATATTCAATATTCAAATATTCACATTTTAATATAACTAAAGCAGTAAAGTAATATATATGAGGGCAGGCTGAAAAGTAATGCACACATGCTTGTAGAACACGAACAAAAACAAATAGCAAGATCAGGCAAAAAGTACATTAAAGTACAATTCTTAAGCTTCAAAATCATATATTTATTTTTCAACATAGCCTTAATGATGACTANTGCTTGTAGAACACGAACAAAAACAAATAGCAAGATCAGGCAAAAAGTACATTAAAGTACAATTCTTAAGCTTCAAAATCATATATTTATTTTTCAACATAGCCTTAATGATGACTAATACATTTCTCCCAACATGTAACAAGTTTTTTCATTCCGTCACTGAAAAATTCTTCTGACTTTTCTCGAATCCAGGACTTGACAGCTGCCTTCACCTCATTGTCTGAGGTGTAATGATTATCCTTGAGGTCTCTCTTAAGTAGAGGAAACAAATAAAAATCACAAGGCGCAAGATTGGGGGAATAAGGAGGGTGTAGAATAGGTTCAAACTTCAGGTTTTGCAGAGCCTCTCCAGTTGCGCGCGAGGTGTGTGGACAAGCGTTGTCATGTTGCAAGATTATTGGTGCCAGGCTGCCTCTAACATGACAAACTCAATGTCAGAGGTGTTTTAAAATCTGTAGGTACTGAGAAGAATTAAACATTGCAACAAGGTGCAACGGTAATTGTCTGTGGCAGTGATCGGACTTCCGCTGCATGTTTCATCAACAATTATGGCTTATCCAGGCTCACAACCATGAAATTTTATTATCCATCAATTTACAATAGACCTATCAACAGCATTGTCACCATAAACAGCCTTTAAACGTAAGTTTTTCAGCAGTTAAAAATTTGATAACAGCACGCTGTTTAACTCACGTTGACATAGCACCAGAACATGTCTTCATATTTCCGCTTCTCAAAATATACTGAATGAACACAACAACCTCAAACTGCGCATGCACATAGAGAGGGAATGTTACTTCCATATGCCACCTGGCACGCTTCTGAAAATCATTTCGTTTGTGCTCTACAAGCATGCGTGCATTACTTTTCAGCCTGCCTTCATACTAATTGAATATTGCATGCTTTAAGTCCAACAGTAAAACAAACTACAAATTTTTTTCTACTTTATCAATTAAATTATAAATAATAAAACTTATTTTCTTGTTTAAACTAACATATTACATTTTGAACATCCCTTGTACTACTTACTTTTGAACAGATATATCGGGATCCTTCAAACAATCAATTATTGTTGTGCGATGTCTTTGAACAGCATTATAATCAGCTTGAACAGTTCTTAATAAAGTATTTAAAGCCACGTACCTGAGAAAAAACTATAATTAATATTTTAAATTTCTTGTACTTAGCATAAACAGTCAATACTTCAAATATATTTAATTTATTTATTTATTTAGCGTATGGCTACACATCTAATTGTTAACAAGAACAGAAAGCAGAAAAAGTAAGAACACAAATCATAAATGTAAATCTAAGTTAGAAATATAGTTTAAAGCACTTTCAGTCATAATCAAGAAGTCACTCAGTTGTCCCGAAAAAGATCTTACTGGACAATCTTCCAAGATATGATGTATAGTCTGTCTTTCAGCACCACAGTCACACTGTGGGGATGCAACTTTTCCCCACCTAAAAAGACTGTCCCTGCACAACCCATGTTTGGTCCGAATCCTATTTAACACACTCCAAAGATTTCTGGATAACTCAAATCCAGGTGGTCGCTTTGTGATACAAGGAAGTTGTCGACTGTCCACCGGAGAGACATCAGCCCAGAGCCTTTTCCAAGATTCAGTGAGGTTGAAATTATTGGAATGCAGGGATTTAGCTCTTATAAGAGGAGGGTGTCTTGATTTAAGTCGATTTATGTTGAGGTCATCAATATCCTGATGGATCGGAAGTTGTGGATTAGACAATATTTTCCTATATTCCCTGAGCAAAGTGCTGTCCCTTCGGAGTGCAGATGGAGGGATATGGCTCAAAATAGGTAACCAGTGAATAGGAGTTGATTTAA